TCCCCTCAAAAACAGGGGCAGGAGAAACTAGCACCAGGCGGAGACGACAGCAAATTGCCCTAGTGCAGTGGTACAGTATGGCGCACTGAAAGGGTGGCTAGATTCAGTGAGACACTAGGGAACAGAAAACGGCAGCTGATGGGGAGAGAGGCTCAGTGGGGATGTGTCCGCTCTTGTCAGTTATGAGTCGCTGTTACCCCATTGTGCCCTCTGCTGTCCCAAGTGGGACGCTGCATGCCTGCAGTTTTTGGTATAATTCTAGCAGAAAAAAAATAAAATCAATCCATAACCCCCAAGAGAAACACTGTAGCACTGCAGATTCAGGCTATTCTGTTAAACACAGGCTGCAAACCTACCAGGCACTCAGCGGTATGTTTCACCAAGCCTGGAACAGAATTGATATGAATTACTAGAGGATTTACCAGGCATTGCTCCAGTCCTTTGTGGACTCAGGGTAAGGGATAGGGCAGGGGGGTGCAGCAGTCAGAGCAAAGGGCTGGGAGATGTTTTTTGGGGTGGTTCAGTGCAGGGCTCAGGCAGGGGACACAGGATGGGGGATGGAAGATATGGGGTGTGTGCAAGGATCAGGGCAGAGTGGTGGGAAGTGTGTGGGTGGTGCTACTCCAGCTGCAGTTCCTCAAAGGGGAGGGGCCGGGGTTGTGCTGCCATGATGGCTCCCAGGGACATAGGTGTGTGGGGGCTGGCATCTCCTCCCAGGGGACTGGGGTTTCACTGTCCAGCAATTCCTGGAGGGGGGACATCTGGGCCCCCCCAGCAGCTCCTGGGGGGTGGGGCTAGGCTGCCCAGTGGCTCCTAAAGGGGGGTGAAGCCTGGACTTAGGGTTGCCAGATGGTTTCAACAAAAATACTGGACACACTTGACATGACATCACAATCTACAGTACATCTGATTTAGAAAACACCCAACACTTCCATTTTCTCAATTTGTTTCCCAAACAGAAAGATCAAATACTGGACTGTCCGGTTCAAAACCGGACACCTGGCAACCCTACCGGAGTGCCCTGCCTCCATAGTGTCTCCTCGCAGGGGCCTTAGCTGTTTAGCACCAGCTGCCAGCTTCCTGGGGGGGGAAGGGCCTGCACTGCACAGTCCTCCAGGCTAATGGCTCCTGAGAGGGGGAGGGGAAATGCACCTAGCTTCCCTGGCGGGCCAGCATGGTCACCCTCCCCAGCAGTTCCTTAGGGGAGGAGCTGTGATTCCTGCTCTCCCTGGTCTTTACTCACAGGGGGATCAGGTCTAGACTGCAGTTTTCAATTCCCCCTCAGTCTCCTGGAGTGGCTCACCCCCTGGCATCTCCTCCAGAGGGAAGGGACTGCAAGGGGTGGTGGTGGGGCTCTCCACCCTGTGCAGCACTGTATTTAGGTACGAGGAAGGGGAGGGGATTACTTACCTGGTCCGATGGCCAGGAAGATGGCAAGCCCCAGCTGATCATTGTCTTGCTGTTGACCTACCCTTCTGTCACTCTGCAGTATAGCTGTCCCTCCCATCAGCTCCCTCCCTTTCTGTGTAACGGAAAACAATTGCATTCCAGGCACATCCTGTTTTCCTGGCACAACCAAACCTTGACATCGCTTTAAGTTAGGATAAGAGGAAGCTGCCTACCAAATCTGGTGGTCCTCGCTCTTACCATTTAGGAATTCTGAACGAACAAAGACTCACAGGCAGACAGACATTTCTAAAATGTATAGATTTAGAACACAGTGAGATAGATTTCACTGACTGTAGACTCAACTGGAAAGCTGTTCCGCGTCAGCAGTTGCTGAAACCGGCCCTGTGCAGAACCAGCAAGACATCATGCAGGACACAGCTACAATGTGAGTAAATAATAAAGGGAGGAAGGTTGCTTAAGGCACAGAAGCTGCCATCCACCGGCACCTGGTATTAATCCCTAAATATGAGGGCAGGCCGCTGTCCCAATCTGTACCACAGATTACCTGGGTATCTGCACTCAGCTTTCCTAGAAGTAAAATGAAGATGCGCCATAGAAATGACACTTAGGCTACGTCTACACTGGCACCCTTTTCCAAAAATACTTAAAACGGAACAGTTTTCCGTTATAAGTATTTCTGGAAAAAGCGCATCTACATTGGCAGGATGCTTTTCCAGAAAAGTGTCCGTGGCCAATCTAGACGTGCTTTTCCACAAAAAAGCCCCGATCGTCATTTTCACGATCGGGGTTTTTTTTTTTTTTTTGGCGGAAAACACTACTGTGCTGTCTACACTGGCCCTTTTCCGGAACAGTTTTCTGGAAAAAGGACTTTTGCCCGAACGGGAGCAGCACAGTATTTCCGGAAAAGCGTCTGATTTCTTACAGTAGATCGTCAGTGCTTTTCCGGAAATTCAAGGGGCCAGTGTAGACAGCTGGCAAGTTATTCCGGAAAAGCGGCTGATTTTCCGGAATAAGTGGCCAGTGTAGACACAGCCTTAGTGTCTGTAAAGCAGTAGTAGCTATTGGTAGAAGCTTAAAGCAATCTCTGTGCCAAAGAGGCTGGC